CCATTATCAGAATTCTTGCAACAATTAAAGGCAATTCACATTAATTAGAATTTATTGTAGCATTGACATTCTTCTTTTTGTTGACCTTGAGTAGTTTTTGCAGAAATTACACTTCAATCACTTTTTTCAGCTGGAAATGGAAACATTGACCTATTCATATGAACAAATGAAAACAAACCCGGGAAAAGTACTTGAAAACTTTGATATTAAGTAACTTCAGGGAAAAGATTGCCAATCCACAACACAAAAATAATAGTGGTAATTTGCATTCAATAGGGCCATGTCTACATCAAGCATTTGTTGTTTATACAGAGACAGACACTGCATCAATTCCTGCAATGATTTTGAAATAATCCCACCACATCCTGGGCAGGGACCACATCTGTGGGATTGTGTGTCCTTGAATTCTCCACCATGTGATGCATGGTGAGAAACACACTCAGCCTTCAGCTTCTGGGGACAAACTGCAAAACCAGCTCCATCTACAACAGTAATCTTGCTTCAAAGGATGTCCAAATGGGGTAAGAAACTGTAACCAAAAAGGCAGATCATGGTAGAGAAATTAATCATTTGACTCTCACCTAGGTTTTGCCTTAGTCTCCAACAGAAGCTTCAGTCCAGCAGGATAAAATTTAATCTTGCATTAAGATTTTTGTCACTAATTATCTCACTGCACATTTTTGACAGTGAGCTAAACTTCCAATCCCTAAATTCTCTGGCAGCAAGTTACATTCCTGGCCTTTGGACTTCCTGCATTTTGTCACACCAAGTGTGAAGAATTCAAAACTCACTGGAAATCAATTTATTTCTGCCCTCTGTATCACTTAGCTCCCCTGGTTTATTCATCAACATCACTACCATTTGTTTGTTTCACTCAACAAATCTAAATCCAAGTCTTCTGATGTGCATCAGGTAAGTTTGCACTGAACCATTTGTACCAGGGCATTTCTCCAGCTCATGCAGCTGTTCCAAGTTCTGCGTGGTACGTCTGCAGTGTGGAGAAAAAACTGCTGAAAATCAGGGTACTTGCCTCAGATTTTATTAGTGCAATTTGGCAGGCAGAAAAAGATCCCCAGTGAGTGATTTAAAGAATATCATCAGCCCAGCAAAGGAAGAAAAGTCTTATTTTAGTTCCCTGCCCAGCTTGTGACAAAAGTTCTCACTCAAAAAGGGCAACAGTTGAGTAAAACACATTTTACACCCAGAGTCTGTTGGGGGTAACCTGCACACTTGCTGCTGTTACTGTACTGCAACACAGATTCAGGCAGTTCTTTACATATACTCAGTGACCTACTCCCCTATTCAGCACCAAGCTGGACATTTGCACTGTTACTCTTTCCAAGTGCATTAATGGTACTCTGTTACCATTCAGATATGTCTGAACTTGAGGACAAACAGCATAAATATTTTATAGGTATAAAGGTTATCTTCAGAGATAAATTACAACAAAGAGTAAAATCATGAAAGAGGTGCCATTAATTTTTCTGGGGCCAAACTATAGTATCAGTCACTGTATTGAGTACTGGAGTCCCACTTCTCTAGAAACTGATCCCTGATGTCAACATTACTAAAAAGAGAACACCTTGAAGACAAACCGAGGTGGATACCATTCTGCCTTCATCCCTCACCTGGAACACAACCCTCTCCACCCCCCAAAAACAATGGGGCAGGTGCTTGGACAGTCACACTGGGAGCTGCTCACAATAATGGAGTTCACAGAGAGAAACTACACCCTTTACTGAAAATAAACCAAAACCAAGCAAATAAAGACCCCAAACCACTCAAAAAAAAAAAAAAAAAAAAAAAAAGAGCAAGGAAAAAAACAAACAAAAAAAGAGATTAGCTTCCAGACAGCTCACATTCCATGAATGTGCTCACAGGAATGGGGAAGGGATTGGAAAGCTGAGGTCAGGTTGTGGCAGTCCCATTTTAGATCAGTTTAGACTCCTGGAGCACCACACCCTAAGATTACTTCAGCCAAAAAAGCTAGAAAATGACCCACGTCATTTTATCACTTATTCTATTCTTTGTCAAATTCTTTTTTTTGCTGTATAATTTTTTTCCTCCTTGAAAAACTGAACTCAGAGTAATAAGCAAGAAGTTCTCAACAGAAATCACAAAATGTTAATTCATGAAACTTCCTTACAGATACTTCTCATCAGAAATCTGATTTCAGTTCCCAAAAATTAAGCTGTGGGAAAACCAAGCTTTCAAAAGAATAATATTGAAATTATTAGAAGGAAAAGATGATATTTAGAAAATCAAGCTGTAAGATGAGGACAACAGAACTCCAACCAAAGATGAACATAAAACCACAATAAAATAGGCAAAGGTATTTTTAAAAGCAGCTTGTAAAAGGCAGAAAGCTAATACTTGAAATGTTTTTTATTTTATGAGAAGAAACCACACAGCTAAATAACCAAGAGGGCTTGTAAAACAAGTAAGCTGCAAACACTGCCCTAAGAATGGATGCTAAACTAAAGGCCAGTACCAATAACTGACCTTAGTATTCACTGCAGAGGAGATAAAAGTTCCCAAAAAGGAACTTTTTGTCATGATAGGATATATGTAAAGCCCTGTGTTGAGACTCAGGAAAAGAGGCTTTACAACAAGTCAAGAAAATGACCAATAAATCAGCAGGATATGAATGTATTACCCCAAGAGTTACAAAGCACTGCAAAAACAGAACTGGTCAGCTCCTAACTGTGGTATGGGACTCAAGAGCCACTGGTGTAGTGCAGGGGGTCTGAAAAGACCAATTTCCACTCCAGGTACCATCCAGGGGCCTAATCAACAACACATTCAGTGTCCTGACCTGGCAAACAGGTAACAATAACAACAACATGCAAGTTACTAGAGCTGGGGCTAAATAAGGTACTGGGAAAGCAGTGCCTCCTATACATATCTATGTATCTGGCAGTAGTGTGTGGATAAAAGTAACAGCTAATGTAGCACACATGGATTTCTCAAGTTCCCTCACAAAATACTTTTGTAAATTTAGTTTACTGGACAACAAAATAAAACGTGATGAAATTCAAGGTGTGAATGTGTGAAATAGCACGTGAGGAAAAGAATTCCTCACTGTTTTTATACAACAAAGTGTATCAGTACAATTATTACCACTCAAAGCAAAACAAAAAAAAAATCCAAAAAACCCTCCCACAAAAACCTCAAAAAACCAAAAGAAAAATCACAAAGAAAAGAGAGCTTGGAGTGACTATTAAAGACCAAAAACTATTCAGAAAGGAAAAAAAAATAAAAAACATTAATAATTATAAATTTATGCTGCCTTTGTATTACAAATAGTGTCCTGCAGCCCTGACCATACATCTCAAATAAATAAATATCCAACACAAAATATATAGACAAAAGCAACCAATAAAGCCATGCTTCTTTCCTCATACTAAGAATTATTATGTAGACTAATATTTTACCACTTAAACAACAAACAGTAGTACAAATGAAACAAATTGCATAGGTATGTAAGTCACCACAGGTGTGAAGAAAATGAATAATTTTCCCAACATTTAGAAACAGAAGAAATGAGGTTTTCCCCCATGCAGCATTTCATAAAATTGAAGAGCTCTTAGTCTTGGCACAGTGGTACGTGGGCCAAGGAGATAAAAGCCATCAGATAAAGACTGCACAAACTCAGAGCAGACAGGTCCTTTAGAAGGCATGAAGATCTGACAGCCCAAGATGCAACAGCTGTTCAGGACCTCCCTGATGCTGAAAGGACACACTGTGTTTGTTTTATTTCTATTACACTTCCTGGAGCATCCCCCACTGAGCCCCATCCTTCCCAGGTTCCTACAGCCACAAACTGTACAGCCTACTGCCACCTGAGGTGTGCACAGAACCCCAAATGCACCTCAGGTGCAGGAGAGGAGGGCAGAGGTGCAGCCACCTGTCAGGAAAGGCGCTCAGAGATCCAAGCCAAGAAAGGAGCCTTGGAGCAGTCCCTGCTGGCCTCGGGGACTGGAGACAGGACAGCTATCTCTGTGGGAATGTACAGTTGATTAATCACTGCAACAGTGCTCCGAGACTGTCTTCAGACAGTTCAGTTGTTCATGTGAATGTCAGCATCACCCCATGTGAATCCCGCCCTGCATAGCAATGGGCTCAAGGAAAGCAACAGAACTTATCACGAAATCATTTTTGTACCTTTGATTTTCAAAACAGGGGTTTTTCATGTGGGGGCCAGACAAAGCTTTTAAAGGAAACAAGAATTTTGCTGCTCTGAAACTATCATACAGAGGAGAGGAGAATGGAACAAAATCAAGGATCCAAGAAGTATGTAAGACACGGGTCTTGAGGGCAAGACACGGCCACTGCCTCATGCAAGAGTCCATCTGCCACTGCAGTGATAAGCTTTCGCTTATCAAACTAAAGTCTACAACTTGTTCAGTGCAAAGCAGAAGCTTAGATGCAAAAGTGTTTACAGAAGTTAAATAAGGCAGCGGTTCTCCTCCGTGTCAAGCTTTTCTAGAGGTCACTTTCAGCTCCCATAGCTTGGGGCTCTCTGGTGACTCTCCAAACAGAACTATGAAGGGATGCCATTTATATGATTTTGCCCTGTCCAGCCTCCCTCACTAGAGATATTCCAGAACTGCCTGGGTGCAATCCTGCGGAATGTGATCCAGGATGACCCTGCAGGAGCATGGACACCGGACCGGATCACCCATCGCGGTCCCGTCCTACCCGACTTACTCTGGGATCAGCCCGCCTTAACAGAACGCAAACTCGTGGGAGGAAAACTCTTCAGCAGACCTCGCGTGTGAACAATGGTGTATCCCTGCAGGGAGCAGCAGCCCCAAACGCTGCCCATCAGCGATGCCCTCAGCACAAGGGCTGCCCTGCCCTGCCCTGCCCCACACAGCGCCCATCGCCAACCCCCGGCAGCGGCGGGGGTGCCGTGCCCGCCTCCCCCCCAGCGCCGCAGTGGTCTCTCCCTCCTCCTCCTCCCCTCCGGGGTTGCCGTGGTCGCGCCCTGTCCTCACCGAAGCGCTGCGGGCGCTGCGGGTACCCCAGCGCCTCCAGCCCGCCCGGCCCCCACAGCACCACCAGGGCCGGGACCAGCCACAGTCGAAGCCTCATGGTCCGGGCGCGGCCTCCTCGGGCACTGCGCGCCCGCTCGTTCGCATCCGCTCGGAGCAACCTCGCCCTCCGCCCGCTGTGCCGGGCCCGCCGCCCTCCTGGGCCCGCACCCGGAAGCGCGGCAGTTGCGCGCGGGGCATTGTGGGGCGGGCGGGGGCGCCATCTTGGGGGGCGGTGCGGGGGGCGGCGCCCGCTCCGCTGTGAGGGCAAGGCGAGGAGGCGGCGGCGCTGCCCTCACGGAGGCTCGGTGTGGGGCTGCGCGTGAGGGACCGCAGCGGGGCGTCTGGGCTAGTCTCGCTGCTCCTGCAGGGTCATCCTAGACCACATGGCACAGGATTGCATCCACACGGTTCTTGAGAGTACTCAGGGAGGGAGATAATACAGCCTCTGGACAATCTGCTCCAGTGCTTGGTTACACGCACAATAAAGTTCTTCCTCATGTTCAGATGGAACTTCCTAAGCATCCATTTCTGCCTGTTGTATCTTGTCCTATTGCTTGGCACCACCAAGAGGAGGCTGGCTCCATTCTCTTGACACCCTCCCTTGAGATACTGAAATACATTGATGAAGTCCCCTCTCAGTCATCTCTTGTGGCTCAACAGGCCCAGCTCTCTCAGCTTTTCCTCATAAGAAAGATGCTTCAGTCCTTTCATCATCTTTGTAGCCTCTGCTGGACCCTGTCCAGGAGCTCCATGCCTGTCTTGCACTGGGGAGCCAGAACTGGACTCAACACTCCAGGGGTGCCTCAGCAGGGCTGGATAGAGGGGCAGAATTGAAATAGAAAGAGTTTACTCCCAACAGGATCACCCCCTTGCACCTGCTGGCAATGCTGTTCTTCCTGCTGAGAGCTCTCACCTTCTTGGGACAGCCTCACCAGAGCCCCCTCACGGCCTCCCCAGGGCAGGAACTGCCCCCTGGGAAGGGAGAAGGCTCTGGGTCCTGCAGCCCCTCTCTGGGGACAGCGTGGGGACCTGCCTGGGCAGGACCCTGGTGCTCTCAGACCTTGCAGGCTCAGTGATGCCACTCACAGCTGCGTTTGCTGCTCCTCCCCAGCCCACGTGAGTGACTGTGCTCAGGGACTTGACAAGGTTTTGTGCAGTTTCCTTAGCACGACTGAGGATTGTGGCACTTGGTACAAATAGTAAGTGATGGGTCCATGACTCAGCTGTTCCCAAAGAGGACACCTTATTGAGATAAAAGCACAGAAAATGTGTTACAGCTGGGCTGTAGTACTCTGGTTAATTTTCTCCTGAATTAGGTGATCTCTTAACTTTTTGCAGATGCCTCCAGCAAAGATAATTGCAAGTGATGTACTCAGCAAAAATGGAGAAAAAGTGTCCCCATTGCTCATCCTGCTTAAGCTGTGCTGCTCATTAGTTACCTGAAATATTTAAAAAGCATCAATAAAATTACTAATTTTTCAAATTTTCATAGCACCGTAAAGGCAGATACATCACTTAAAACAAGAGTGTGTCTCTCAGTTCTTGTCCCCAAACATGAAAGAATTGTATGAGGTGAAATTTCTGGGGAAACTTCTGCTGGGTCTGCTTTGAACTTCCTACAATTTGCATCCAGTGACTCCTGAAATCAGAGGTTGTGTCTTGTTAGCAGCCCTCACTGTATCTCCTCCATCCATTTGTTCAGTTCATTTGATGCTCAGGGAGTGCCAGCTGAACATGAGGAGGAATTTCTTTACTGTGTGAGTGACTCAGCACTGGAAGAGATTGTGCAGGGAAGCTGTCCAGTCTCCCTCACTGGAGATGTTCCAGAACCACCAGGATACAATCCTGTGCCATGTGATCTGGAATGGCCCTGCTTGAGCAGGGAGGTTGGACCAGATGCTCCACTGTGGCCCCTTCCAGCTTTATCCTTTCTGTGACTTCTGTGACCTACTGCTTGTAAACTTGTAGCATCCATATCATCCTGTGGCAGGAGTTCCACAATGTCACTGTATGCATGAACAGCCACTTTTCTTGCTTTCAACTTGATATTTTGTGGCACCATGTGATGATCTGACCCTGCTTCTTGCTTGGGGAAGGACAGTACATTGAGTTTGCCTTCTCTATGCCAGTCACCACTTCAGAGCCTCCATGAAATCCCCTTGCAGACAAGGCTCCTCTTGCAGACAAATCCAAGTGAAATCTCCTTTCCAAGGAGGTGTATGCTGCTATTCTATGAACTTCACCATTTCTGTTATTCCTGTTTGTGGTGGTGGGACTGGAACTCCATATAGTGTTCATGACAGAGGCATCTAGTAGATTTATAAAGTGGCATAATAATATTCCCTGCCTTGTTTTCAGTATTGCTTCTGAACATTTCTAGTATTCAATGTGCTGTTGATCGCCACTGAGCTGCCATTGTCCTACAAATAACATTAAACTTCCCAGTCTCACAGCTGACATGTGGGGGTCAGTTCAGAGAGCATCATTCCACATGTGATGTAGGACTGTTTTGTCCCCAAGTGCACGGATTTACATCATCTGTTGTTTTCCTGCCAGGCACTGAGGTCTCTGTTCAGCTGCCCACAGGGAGGTGTCCAGTGCCATTCCAGATGACACAGAGGGTCTGAGTGAGGCTTTAGAAGAGTCTGGGGGTCCCTGCTGAGTCCTGTGCTGGAGCATATCTGTCCCCATACAGTGGATCATCAGTGGGTGTCTATGAGCCCTGAACAGAGGAAGGTCTTTCTGCAGTTCTCAGCCACACCTTTTCTCTCCTTTCAGGAATAACATGATATCTTCAGCAATCTTTGTCTTGTCACTCCTTATCTTACTTGGATTATTTATGAGTAAGTGCAGAGATGTGAAGGTGCATCAGTGACTTCTTTCATTGTGAAAACTGACCATATATTTAGCCTTTTAACAGCATTTCAGTCCATGCTGGGTTCTTCTCTCTTGTCCTCTGGTTGTTTAGTCTCCTTAAGAACCTTTAGCAAGAAAGTCTTTGAAGTCTTTCAGAAATTTCAGCAAACTGTATCTCTGCAATCCTTCTCATCCATGTGCTCACTGATACATTCAATCTGAGTTTACAAAGCAAGACTTCTCTTGGCAAGGACAATGTTGACAAAACCCTTGTTGGTCTTTCCCTGGTAAATCACATCTCCCCATATATGCACTAATTATAGTTGTACTAGTCTGTGTAGAATAGGTGTCACTTTTAATGTCACAATTTAAAAAAAATAATGTGACATTTGATACAATCTACTTCTTAGATGCCAAGAAAGTTTTAAGCAAGAATTGATACCAAAGTTAGAATTTGACTGCACTGTACAAAATATTGCATCCTTGAGTTTCCTGAGTGAACAGTGTCTCTTGAGAATTTTTCTCAAAGTTGTTTGTTTTGTGTCATGAACTTCTTTTTAGGGTTCAACATCTCCATTTGAAACAGATCAGGGGTAAGGTTAATGATGAAGTGCTCCAGCAGAGGAACACACACTCAGGAGTTTCATTTGGGTTTTCCACCATGGCTTTGTCCTCTCTCAGTACTGGCTTTGCAGCCAGTTTGGTTGGTGAGTCTCAGCTTCTGGCACCTGGTACACTAAGATTATTGAAATAATCTTAGATTATTTCAGATCTTCTTGAAAATTATTTATTATTTGGTTTTATGCATTTTATGACTCCTTCTATGTCATTCATGAACTCTACCATAACCCTCTGAATTACAGATTTGATTGGGTTTTTCTCCAAATGAAATGTCTTATTTTGGTTAGCCTTCCTTTGTGTCTGATTAATTCATGTTTGTGCTTAATCTAAACATTTTTCTGGCTTTTGGGTTTTGGGGTTTTTTTGGGGTTTTTGATATAGTACAGACATTCTGAAGTATATAATAAATAATTTTCCTCTACCCATGTCTTGATTCTAGAGACTTTCTGCAATTTTTGACCTCCACTGAGTACAGAATTAAAGTTTCAGGCAGATGATACTTTCACCAGCTTTCTAAGATGTCTTTTCACATTAATAACATCTAAACAAGTGCTCATCATTGTAAGTATTTGGTGAAGGTTACATATTACATTTATAAGCATCAATTTTCATTTGCCATCTTATCAGATGTGATTTAATATGGCAGGATCTTTTGGCAAGTTTTAGAATAAACTTTAGATTGAACTTTTTGGAATGCATTGTTCTATCTGTGAACTATTTATCCCAATTTCCAGATCCCATATTGGACTTCAGAGGTATCAGTACAGATCCATTTTTTTATCAATGGATAGACTATGCTATCTCTCACTATTTTGTAACTTGTGGAGGAAGATAAAGAAAGCCAGATAAAAAGTTTCTTTTTCTATTATTACTTGAATGTTCCCACTGAGTAGTTTTTTTTCTTTCATTTACTTCTTATCTCACAAGGACACTTTAATAATAAAAGTTGATTGCCTGTAAATATTTTTAGGGTTATAGAACTGTGCTTTGGGTTTTCACAGAGCCCATCACAATGCAGCTGTTAGATTAAAGTGTTTAGACTATTGCTATTTCATAATACCATAACAGTATATAGTAGTTATGAAAATTGTCACTGGTTTAGCAATATGGTTCATTCCACATTAATTACAATAATTGATTTGGCATCTGTAGGTTAGTTTAATGGCATGTCTGAGTGTGAGGTTTTTTAAAATCTTAATTTGTTTATATAAATATATCATCTTGTGTCCAGCACAAGACCACTTTTGGAGTGTGCTGATACTCAGTATTAATAGAAATGCATTCTTTCCTTCCCACAGTAAGGAATTTGAGCCATTTTATTAATATGAGTATGGACTAAACAAGGATATGCTAAATAGATAGGATATGATTAGAAATTAATGGGAAACAGCGTGTAGTGTGTTGGTGAGGAATAGCACAAGTATAACACATTGAATAAAAAGAAAAGAAACAAAAGAATTTTATATATGTAGGCAGTGAATGTGTTTCCCTGTGTCAATAATAAAAGCTGGAGATGTGGAGTGACACTAGCTGGGTAACTGACCCTGTTGACAAGAAGGGTTCCTTTAAGAACAACTATTAGGTAAAAGAGGTAAGCCCACTACTCAGAATGATTCATAAAATATACGGTTTAGGAGGTTGTTTGGAAAGGAAGATGGATTC